TATTTGAAGACTATCAGAAGTTAGAATTATTAATATGTACTCTAGTGATACAAATAATGGTCATTGTATAGTAATTGGGAGTTGCATAGGCTGATTTAGACCTGCATATAGAACTTTTGATGGCTCAAATGTATAAATTAATGTATTTCAAAATTATGCCCTTAGCATTTGTTTATATTTCAAAATCACCACACAATCTGGTATAATATGCTGTCTCTGCCGAACCCTGGTACTGCAGATATGTAGTAGTGTACTGGCAATATTGTGTGAGAAGCTTACACAAAATCTGCCTTCCTATTCCTGTATGTAATGAGCATCAAATTCACCCAGTTTTTTTTTTAATAAAGAAGTATCACATATAGAATGGTCATGTTAGGCTTTGTGTCTGCAGTGTTTTTTCAATTAACTTCTGTGAACCTACCTCAATAAAAAGTGTTTAATTTTTTTTGCCTTCGAGGCCTATAATTAGATTAAACTTTTAATATGGTTAATTATCTACTACCTTTTTTACACAAAGCAATATGCTTCTTTAAGTTAGAATGTTCATACAGGAAGGAAATTGCTGTACATTTCAACCCATAGCCATTCTGTTGTAAATACTGTTACCATATGACAGTATTTTAGTTCTTATTTAAGACACTGCACTTATTTTATAAAACTGAAACAAAAGGAAGCAGAAAATTTGATATGCATTGTATTATCTACTGCTTTTTTGTTGATGCCAGCTGACACATAGTTTAAAAAATGACTGATAGATCATAAACTGGTGAAAAAAAATCTTAAATGAAGTCTATACAAAATACATTAATAAAGAAAAGTAAAATAACAGCATATATGTTTAGAAATACAGTCTTTGGAGTCATAAAATATTCGGACTTAGCCATTGTTCCATTTTATTTTCATTTTCTTATATCTGTTGTTGTCCGATTAATTTATTTGTCCTATTTATGATTTTTTTTAAACTGGCTTTTAATAATCTTTATAGCATTTGTAACCAGCAGCTCAATTTCTGGGCCTACTTATGGTCATCGGGGACTTAAAAAAACCATTTGCATATTCTTCAACTTCATTAAATATAAGCAAAAACTCATTATTTAGAATACCAACATATTTAGGTCTTACATTTCTGAATTAGAATGTAGGATATTTTAAATGATGCTATATCACCTTTATATTATCATACCTGAGAGAAAATGCTCTTTATTTGATATGAACAGGGTCCAAACTGTCTTGTTTACAACACTTACAATGTGGGAGTGAATGAGAGGTTAATAGCTTAAGTCCTGAGACTACAGTACTTAGTCAGACTGGTAAAAGCTTTGAGTCAGGCCTGCCCTGTCTTCTGAATATAAATGTGGTGTGTATTATGTTTTGTCCTGGAGTTTCATAAGGGTTAAACTCTGAAAAGAACTTTTCCACCCAGCATTTTATGATGGTTTGTGTTGTATAAATATGTGTGAAATCACTTTAATTATCTGTATTTTAATTATATGTGTGGACAAAAGTACTGACTAAAATACCATTTTGCTTATAGTAACCTTATTATTAAGGAATGAACTAAAATTATAATGTCTGCCTGAATTTCTGCTTTTGAGAGGATGTAGTGGGAGAGGAACAAACCATATTGCTAGCCATGATCTACTGTACTACAGAAAAACTTTTTCAGAGTGCCATCAAATAATGTTAACCTCTTAGTGAAAGTAACACAGATATAGCTAGTCCTTTTCTTAAGCGAAAATAAATTTATTATAGCTACTCATTAGCTGAGTATAGTGGGCTTGCTAATTTTTGTAAGTGTAGACGTTAGCTGGTTACTGACAGGGGAACAAGGAAATGCAATTGGAAATCAGGTTCAGTGGTTTTCTACTGGACAAAAGCAGATTATACTCTTTAAATATTTTGCTGGGAGAACATGCCTCTCTGCAGCAATACTTGCTTGGCTACAACTGAGGAGATGGACTAGTAAAGTGGGTTTGGGGCTGAATTAGTGAATGTAATATTCTATCTGTACTAAAAGAGCTGAGTTAGCATCCTTCCCACACCCCTGCTCTCCATTCATTTTGTATCTTTGTATGGTTCTGAAGCCATTTTATAACACAGGTGACAAAAAAATAAAATTGCCTTGGCTTTACAGGTGCCATGGTTATTTTTCTCGTAGTACTTCTTCACTTTTCTTGGAAAATACTGGCAAGTTTAGATTATTTTAAAATATCTAGTGTGTTCCTGATTGCTTATTAAGACCAGCTTCGCAGAAAATGTGATTGATTGATCCTGTCCTTAAAGAAGAGATTCAAATAGTCTTAGAACAACAAGACCGTGGAACCCTCCTTTGTCATTATAATGTATCCATGAGGATTTGTAGTTATAGTCCTTTTAAATAAAAGAAACCATATTACTGTAGCTTTCTTCCACATTAAAATCATACTAAAAGTACTATTGGCTGCCACCTAAGAGGTGGTGTTTTTGGTGGTTTTTTGTTTGTTTGTTTGTTTGTTTGTTTGGTCTTGGAAGTTACTTTTCCAAAGGAAGATTTGGCACGTGATAGTGATAGTCAAATAAAGTAAAATTAACAGTATTTCTAGAGATCGGTCTTTCAATGTCTCCTCAAGAGGTTCAGAAATGGGAAATATTTTTTCTCATTCGGCTGCAGATAATTTTACCACGCTAAGGACGGTAATGAAAACCAGGAACAGGGAAACACGCGTCAGTCCCTACTTCCATGGAAACCTGAATCCAAACCCGTCTCCTTATTACGGGTGGCATAAAGGGTATCTTGAGGAAAGATGCTTCTGCCGCCTGGAAATCCGGGGGGTCGGAGGGTGGGAATCCAGCGGTCAAGAGGAGACCGTGGGAAAGGCTCGCCAATGCCCAAGGCTTTGTAACCTGCAGTGGGAAGGGAGCAGTCACATTTGCACCCTCCCCGTGTCATCACCATTCCCGGCCGCGTGTACAACTTCCCCTTAAACTACTCACCCTGCTAATTCGCGGCGGAGGCATCACGGCGCTAAATCGAAGCCGCAGCACCTTCTCTTCGGCGGCAGAAAAAATAAGGAATTGCCGCTTGCAAGAGAAATAGCCCGGGGTGTCCGAAAGCCGGGGAGTGGAGGGGTTGGGGTTGCCCT